ATGAAATCTCTGGAATTAAATTATTCTCCACATCCTGTTCTGCCACTCGATAATTTTATCGCTTAATCATCTTCAAACAAGACTCAGATACAATAACCATAATTGGATAGAATGAATTCAGCCTTGTTTTCCAGTTTTAACAAATTGAGAGAATCGGGAAAAACTGCAAATGAATTGCAAATAAACTGCGTTCTACCGATTTCAACAAAATCATGATAAAAATAAATGCTCGGCTGCATTATTGGCGTCAAACTGTGCGTGACAAAAGCTCATTATTGTATTGTTGAATTCATAAGGGAGTTTGTAATTACGGGTGAGGCGTAGAAAGAATCGGGTGTAATCAATTCTCACTCAGGCGTGTTATTGGACATTTCAGTGATCGATTGAAAAAAAATAGTCCCTTAGCCTAGCTATTTTTCAAAGATGTTTGCTTACAACATCAAAATTATCCACGTAATTCCGTAATGAAGTGGTAAACTGGGAAAGGTGTATTTTTATAATAATATCTCGGCATTGAAGGAACATAGCGAATTTTTCCAGCGAACATTTTTTATAGAAAAAAATGAGAGCTACAAAAAAGGTATTTATGGAAAAATCGTTATTTCCCTTCAATGTTGAGATATCGGCTAAAAATTGCCATCGAAAAAAATGCACTTATCCTAGTTTATTACTTCGTTACAGAATTAACAATTACACTGTTTGCGGAGAAATTACGTTTGGGTGCACTTCGACAATTAGATAATCACAATCAACATTGCAAGAAAAAACCATAGAATTTTTAACGACCAAGTGCAATTCAATTTCTGTAAGGTTCTTCAGTTAGGGAGGCAGAAGAAATAGACCAGGAAAAAATAGCCCAGACATCCAAGACGTGTTAAAACCCACCCAACTTAATAGACCATAGGAAAGTTAACCTGGGTCTATTTATTCTGTGGTCCATATCTTCCGGGATTCCTCCAGTTAATTGCTCGAATATTTAAATAATTCTGAAGCTTTCCCGATTACGTGGATCCTCCGAAAACAAAACAATCAGTTAATTTGCAATAACTTTCGAACGAACGCTACGATTTTGTTAAATTTTATGTCATTTTTCAAATTGTTATAGTGGTGTCCGGAGTTATGCATCCAGGAAAAAATATTTTAAACAAAATCATCCGGAAAATGTCGACCTTGTTTGGAGGAATAACTCCTAGAATCACGAAATTTCACTCTACAATTTACGAACGATCGAGAGTTGAATGGAATTTCCCTGAGATTTTCAATATTGAGTGAATTCAAGACAAAGCATGATAATCTCAATCCTGAGAAAGATGTCATTAATTAACCGATTTGTAACAATTTGGTATGAAGCAATAGTTCACTTCACCCTGACGCACGTTCTTCCGCATTCAGAAATGTTAATGAGTCCCGTTTAAATCCCAATTAACGAATCGGTGTCATCACCAGGGGAACCCTTTGTTTAATTATTCATGAATGTTTATGTTAAAAGGTGTCGCCAGTGCTCTGAATTCGTTACAATACTTAATCACCGGAACGAGTCTATTAAGCAATCAACCTATGTAACAAATTATTACCTATAAATAGTCATGGGTGAAGAATAATTTTTCGTGGATACAATTACTTCCCTAAAATCCCATTTCCCGAATTGATCACGCTTGATCGATAGAATTGATAATTCTATGCAAAATCTGTTACAGAATTTGACTCACAATAATATTTCGAAATATTTTTTAAATCTTCGCATTTTTTAAATATGAATAATGTATAACAAAAGAGAGTGAATGCAAAAAAGTTGAGGCAAATAGACTCAACATGAAGGCTTGATGTTTTGTTCTGTATTCCTTATTTGTTCATTATTCGAACCAATAAAAAAGCGTAATAAATTTATAAAGAAAGGAATGACCAAAACCCGTGTTTTTAGTAACAAAAAAAATTGATAAATACATTAATGATGAATTGGTTTGATTTTCCATATTCCTACTGCAATTCTCATAAAAAAAACTAGTGGATAAATTACTACAAACTGCCCAATCTCTGGGAAATACAGATTTAGTTCATTATTTTGATTAATTAAATAAACGAAGGCAATGAATGCATGAAGAAAATGAGGAAGAATGAATGTTTTCAGTGACGAAGAAATAAATAAATCAATAAATAATTAATTTATTCAATTCTACCTATTCCTGCTACGATTTTCATAGAAAACTCGTAGGTAAATAAAAAATAAACTGCCAGATCTCCGTTAAATGCGAATTTTGGAGGCCAGCAAGACTCCACTAATAACAAAACCTCGCGTCCTTGAAAAATCGAAAAGCAATGGCCATCCACCAATGTGTGTATCAATCATCTAGGTTAATTGCACAAGGCGAAAATACCCGAGGCCTTCAAAACAAAAAAAAACTTATTGAAGTTGAAAAAATTTCCACAATTATTTTTTGAATGGAAAAACTCTCAATCGAAATTGCGTTATGTTTATTAATTCAATAAAAATTATTTCTGCGCACTTGTGGCATTTTGATAAGCTGCATGCTACCAGCCAGACGTCCACATAACCCGTTTCATATATTCAAAATTCTAATTATAAACCCTCAACATCTTCGTCCCTATTTCTCCATTCCACTTAATTTGCCGTTGCCAAACTGCATTTTTTCGTTATAAAACAGCGTCAAAACCCATCGAGTACTCGTCACTCTAATTACGGTGAGGCGATGTACCATTGAACTCTCGTCAATGCGATTTTTTAAAAACCAATAAAGAACACATGGAACTCTGACGAATAGAAACTTGTGAGTCATCTTTAATAACGGGCAATTTCCTCGCTATTTCATCTCTTTTACGAAAATACCCACACGGGGAGAAAGATGTTTTTATCAAGCTCTACAGAACAATTCAAAATTTTATTTTTTTTTTTCATTTCCCGATTTTATTTGATTGGGGAAAAAGACGTTTTTCGTATTTTCGGACGATTCTCGAGATCGCTAGAGTGAATTTGGATTTTTTTTAAAAATATCTATATATATATATTTAGAGATACTATGCGAAATTTGCGGAATGCATTTGCAAATTCCTTTCCCGTACTTTAAACATTGATTTTGGAGCTTCAACATGCGATCGAATACGGAGAATTGAATTGAAGATTTTGGAAATTCTTGATATTAAAAGAGAAAAGTAAAAAGAATTTATTCGGGTCCATCGAATCTGAGTGGAATTTGAAAAATGGTTGACTTGACTGGATGAATTTTGATTTCTATAGTAAAAAAATCTTCGATGAAAGAAAATTTCTAGTTGTCAACGTCTCGACTCTGACAGAACGGAATTCACATTTTCTCACGTTCAAGACAATCTCCGGCTTCCCACTGCCACCAGATTACAGCAAATCGATAAATCCCCTCAAAAAATATTTAATATCCCCACTCTTCTATCTAAAAAACCCCTACAAAATTAATTATTCAGTCATTAACAGCTCGAGAATGAAATGCAACGAATGATCTCGAATTGGAAAACGACTCAAAATGAATCTGACTCAGTTCAGAATTTTTAATGATTAATTAAAATAATAATATACTTTTTCCATATTGGAAACTCTGATCTTCAGAAGCGAATTGTTTCTACGTAAACAAATAGATACTTGTTATAGATAATCGTGATGTACATATTGCTGTTATTCCCAATTTCCTGAAAATTTTCCACATCTTCTTTTATTTTTCAGATCCTAACGCTTATGGGGCCTAAGTTCAATTGAAATCTCAGAAGTTTTGTGTCTTATTTCGTTCTTTAAACCATTTGAACTCGGATTCGTTTTCAGTTAGAGTTTAGTCAGGATTTAGTTAGAGTTTCGGAGAGATTAACTGAGTACACACATGGTACAATTGTATAATTTGATGAGCAATTCTAAGTTGATTAAGAGGATTGATGCTTTTAAATTACATAAACAATCATCTGTGAATCAACAACAAATTGCTTAATTCATTCATCATGTTCTGATAAAATCATGAGGATATGAATCTCAATTGTTTGTGCCTTGATTATTTCCGGTATCAATTAAATTTTTGAGAAAGTTTCTATTTTTCGAAATAAATAATATTGTTAGCGAGAAGAATCAAGAGCAGAGTCGACTTGACTCCGAGAACAAGTTGATAAACAATTAAAACAATAACAGTTTAAAACAATTCAAGCAGAGACGATAAGAATTATTAAAAATAATCATCAGAGGACGGACTTCTACTAATTGTAGAAGACTAATTAAATATCAAGGTGTTGCCACTACATGATTTTCGATTCACCATTAAAATTCACTTTTTTCACGTCAATTGTTTTTACCGTTCACAATTGACCTCGAGACGCACTGAGAAAAAAAAATTATTTTTGCCAATTATTTGCTGAAAAGAAGTACTCAAGTTTTTAATAACATATTTCTCCCTCGAGTCATTCCCCATTAAGTTTCAATCATTACAATTATATTGTTTTGAAAAATGATCATGCTACTTACAACCTTGAATGTCCTCTCAGTAATTATCAACATTGAGCAATTAACCGAAATTATTCTCTAAATGAAAAACGAAATCCACGAAAAATAACCAATTATAACAGTACTCAATTAAAAAAAAAGTTCAAAATAATAATTCTCGAATTATCAATTATAACTATCAGAATTACAATCTGAAGACAATCAGGAAATGACTCGACTACAAAACATGACTTTTTACTACTGAATAATTGAGTAAAGGAAATTTTCCGAATGAATATTCAGTAGAATGCAAAAACGTCGTTTTCTTATTTTCTCAATTCAAGCGGATATTCAGCAAAAATATTTTTTCTCCCAGTGCATTCGAGACGGTGAATTTTAGTGGAGTCCTTCAACCATTGTAAAACTGACAAACAAAGGTCCTCTCCAAACAATCCCCGAGAAGTCTGGACCTACCTGGCAACAAGAGGTCCACGACCTTCCCTTCTTCAAAAATCCTTCACGAAAAAATAAGAAAAAAAACAAATTTCATTACCTTGAGACGCTTGAGTTTTCCGTCCCTGGCAGCGATGTACACCGCACTCTTAAAATCCATTTTATCTCATACTCTGTTTTTGGTCTGCCAGGAGTACCTCGCACCACAGAAGAGAAGAAAACAGCCAAGAACAGGCCACGAACAAGGAAACAATAAAATCCCGTAGTTGTCGAATTTACAGCATTTCCACACCAACTTCTTTGTTCGAAGTGAAGTAGCAGTCTCACACGTTTATCGATGATTAAGCAGCTGATTAAGTCACTGAACAATAATTGTTGGTTTTGAGCACTTGGGGGCGTTATGAGGAGCGTTTGGCTGTTAAATAGGATTACGTACTCCTTTTCACTGGGTAATGATGAACCATTGCGGAGAGGGGATATTTTGTTGAACGCGCTGTCGTGGCACACACACTTCTAGACCACTATTAAATATTGACCTGTCACACTCCAAACTGTTTCCCAAAGAGGATTGACTAAAGTAGAGACTCAGTCCTGGGGGTTTGAGTGACCCCAGCGACATTATAGTACTCTATCCCAAGAGAGGGAGGGCGCCACACGCAATGGGGGTGTCTGCCCGTCAGCCGACTCGGTAACTGGACCAATCGATAGGGTGAGTGTTATTTTCTGCGTTACGAAAAAACGAAATTGGTATTCACTGAAATTGAAGAATTTAAAATTTTCAAAAAAGTATCAGGGGAGCATGAAAATCGAGGAGGTATTCACTGAAATTTGAAATTTAGAAATTTTCCAAAAAGTATCAGGGGAGCATGAAAATCGAGGAGGTATTCATTGAAATTGAAAAATTTAAAATTTTCAAAAAAGTATCAGGTGAGCATGAAAATGGAGAAGGTATTCACTGAAATTGAAAAATTAAAAATTTTCAAAAAAGTATTAGGGGAGCATAAAAATGGGGAGGGATTTACTAAAATTCGAAAATGGACGCAAAAAATTCAAGTGAATACCAATTTCGTAACGCAGAAATTAATATTCATTCTGTCGACTAGTCCCTCTGACAGCGAGAGTGCTACTGAGGCAGTTACCGAGTCCGCTGACGGGTAGACCCCCACCATTGGGTGCGACCCCCTCTTTCTCTTGGGGTAGGGTGCTCGCGCAGAACTGAGCCGCTCAGTGGGGGGTTCGAGTGACCCCACCACCATGTAGTACGTCACCCCAAGAGAAAGAGGGGGTCGCACACAATGGTGGGGTGTCTACCCGTCAGCCGACTCGGTAAATGCCTCAGTAGCAGTCCCGCTGTCAGAGGGAGCACTCGATTGAATGAATTTTATTTTATGAAAATTTAAAATTTTTCAATTTCAGTGAATACCTCCTCGATTTTCATGCTCCCCTGTTACTTTTTTGAAAATTTCGAATTTTCAAATTTCAGTGAATACCTCCTCAATTTTCATGCTCCCCTAATACTTTTTCGGAAATTTTTAATTTTTCAATTTCAGTGAATACCTTCTCCATTTTCATGCTCACCTGATACTTTTTTGAAAATTTTAAATTTTTCAATTTCAGTGAATACCTCCTCGATTTTCATGCTCCCCTAATACTTTTCGGAAAATTTCGAATTTTCAAATTTCAGTGAATACCTCCTCCATTTTCATGCTCCCCTGATACTTTTTTGAAAATTTCGAATTTTTCAATTTCAGTGAATACCTCCTCGATTTTCATGCTCCCCTGATACTTTTTTGAAAATTTTAAATTCTTCAATTTCAGTGAATACCAATTTCGTAACACATAAAATAAAATTCACCCAGTTGACTGATCCCCCTGACACCGGGACTGCTACTGAGGCAGTTACCGAGTCTGCTGACGGGTAGACACCCCCACTGCGTGTGGCGCCCTCCCTCCCTTGGGGTGCAGTACTACTATGCCGCTGGGGTCACTCCAACCCTCAGGATTGAGCCTCTACCTTAGTCAATCCTCTCTGGGTCGAGAGGAAATTTAAAAACTCCCGGGTGCCTCCGTATATCAACATAAATGTCTGCAACACTTTTGTTCACACTGGAGAAAAAACTTTTTCATGCCTAGTAAGTAAATTGCATTATGCCTAACATAATATTGAAGAGATGATATTATTATGTCATTATTATATTATTATTTTAGACGCAGAATAAATCATTTGAACAAGTATTAGTGGATTCAGGAACAATTGTTTCAATGAGGAATATTCTTTGATCATCTTTAAAATTAATTGCTAATTGGCGTATTGATGATAAATACTTTTTAAAAAATCAATTGTATGGAAGAAACACATATTTTCAAAAATTGGTGCATTTTGTAATAGGTGTTGGTTTTTACTCGGATGGTAAGTACCATTTCTTCGTTAATTAAATTACGACATTAGTGGCTCATGCTGGCAGTAGGCCAGATCGTCCGATTCCCTCGTCCATGGAAAACGAAGACTTAATAAATTACTAATCTCGGATTTTTCCAGTGAAATTCAAGAAATTTTCCAGAAAAAAATCGACAATCCATCGTCGGTTGAACTGCAATTGCTCGGGTTTAATTCAAGCGGAATAATGTGGCTAGAGGATTGCGATGGATTTGCGGAGCTCTGTCGAGGTTATCTACCTTACTACCTGCTCATAGTTCTCCCAATATTTATCGTTGTGTCACCAATGAATCCCGTGACTGCATCCCATGAATTACCAGTCTACAGAATGCATCAGTATGACCTCCATGGAGTAGCTCACGGTATGTTGTACTTTATTCAATTTTTATCTCATGAAATCTAATGAAATCTCATGAAAACTTAAATGAGCTGTTTTCGTTGGCCCATAACTTGAGAATTACAGAGTCAAATTCCTTCACCGGTTTCCAACTTCAAGAACACTTCTCAATCTTCAAAATAAGATCTCATTCATCCAAATCGGATCGTTTAATCCAGAGATATCAAAGCTTTTAGACAGTGAAACATGTTCAAAAAAATTCTAGAGGAATTTTAGGGGGTGCTTAGAGAATTATTTTGGAATTTTCAATTATAAAACAGTTACAATGAGAGAAAATGTATACTATTATCTACCGTGTCTTTATTATCTTTTGAAAAATTGACACACTAATTACATTTTCTACATTTCTGCACTAGAAAAGCGTGAGAATTCTATGGCTTCTTCGGTCGAGTCTTGACATGAATATTCCACTGAACAATTGACTGGAAAAAATTCAAATCGTTGACATATTTTCCTACTTCAGTAATTTGTTCGTTGTAAAATTAGTCTGCATTTGTAATTAAACATTTCTGCAATTAGACTTTTCAAATTTTAGGAATTCTACATTAGAGTTCCGGCAAGATTCTAGAATTGTTTAGATACCAAAAAAAATTGTCGAGCATAAAATAAATAAGGGAAGTTTTGAAGTGAATTTGTATAGACGAGCATTCAATTGTCATTGGTAATAATTGTTATTATTTTATTTCAATTTAATACAACAAGTTGGAAACTGAAAATTGAAGGATTGTAATACTTTCCTCCGAATGAAAAAATGAAGAATTCTCTGGAAATTTCAGGATGCAGAAGTGCCTCAATACAGCTGGAAGCCAGAACCCTCAATAGCTGGCAGACTTCCAGGCACTGTGTCATCGCCAGACTGTCTGACCTCACACCTGACGTTTTTTACACAATCAAGAGTAAAGCTGGTGCCCTCATCCTAATGTTGCCACAAGACATGAAGAGTCTGACTCCAGAAGAACACGAGGTACTTCCTTATTTCTCATTTGCCAAATTAATTTACCCGACTCAAATAAATTCTTACAAATATTAATATACACAGGGCTTAAATTAATTAATTTCCCATTAATAAAGATTAAAATAAATGCACTGATCTATAGCACATCCTGTCTCTGGAAGCATCAATGGAGTCCAGTGGAGAGACAACGATTCCAGTGTACTTCTCCCCCTGGAACTCTGATCTCCAGACAATTCTCAATGATCTCGAACACGGCTTGATAACGGATGCTAAAGCCAATACCGAATTGCAAAACCTTGTTAATTCCATATCTGCGAGTGGATATCAAGTGATTGTGGCAGCTGGTCAACCAACGCCAAAGGCTGACGTTAAAATTGCAACTGTTCAAGGGAAATTGGCTGGAGCTGGAGTCGAAGAAAAATTACCAACTGTTGCAATAGTTGCTCATTATGACAGTAGTTCAGTTGCCACGGTAAAATTTTCTCTAATGAACTTCTAATTTAATTCAAACCAGTTGACTACTACACTTGACTAAAATTTCGAGCTGAAAATTTTATCATAATGTATTCTCTACAGGAATTATCCTTCGGAGCAGAAAGCAATGCATCAGGTGTCTCAATGCTCCTGGAATTAGCCAGATTATTCTCAGCTCTCTACTCGATCAATAAATCACGAGCCAAGTATAATATTGTGTTTCTCCTGAGTGGTGCTGGTAAATTAAATTACCAGGGAAGTAAAAAGTGGCTTGAAGATCAGTTCGATGGAGTTGAGGGCTCCGTAATCCAGGCATGTAATCACCACAAAAAAATGGATTCAACTCCTTCAATTGGAAAATCCACAGAGTCATGCAAAATGAACTGCCCTATATTTACATTTATCTTACCTAACAGGTGTTTTTAGAAAAAAAACGATTCTCTGCAAAAAAGTCTAATAACTTTTTTTTCTTACAGCAATCTTACAAGGCCATGCATTTTCCATTAATGAAGAGAAAGGGGAAATCATTTGATCAAATTCTCTGAATTATTTGCAGGACGCTTCGTACGTTATTTGCCTGGACTCTGTAGCTAAATCTGATGACCTCTATCTCCACGTGTCCAAACCTCCGAAGGAGAATTCATTCGGCAGTTTATTCTATAAAGAATTGAGCTCTGTGGCCCAGGTTGTTGGAGAAACGAAAGTCGAGGGCATCCACAAGAAGATAAATCTTGCTGAGGAAAGTCTTGCTTGGGAGCATGAGAGGTACAGCATAAGGAGACTCCCAGCAGCTACTTTATCGAGCTTGAAGAGTCATGACGATCCAGGACGAGCGTCAATCCTTGATGTGACCAGAGAGGGACAGACTGAAAGACTTCACAGACATACTTCCATCGTTGCTGAGGCTTTGGCTAGGCATTTGTATGGAGTTAATTCTACCTGGATTTTCTCACCTCCTGTGGTAATTATCACAATATTTTTTGCCTTAGAATTTGGTGAATTTTAGGAGATGAAAAACTGATGATTTTTATCAACAAATTTCTCTTGACATTTTCTCGTAGAGCCTCTCAGTATCAAATATATTCAAGGACTGCAAAAGACGGATAATATCAATTTATCCTGTTCTGCCACAGCTTAAGTAAATGAATTCATAATTACATTCTCTCTATTGATGTATTCCTCTTTCCTATTTCAGGAAGTTTCAAAAGAATCATTAAGTGTCTGGATGAATTACTTAACATCTCAATCGAGATCAGTGCCACTTCTAGCCGATAAAAATAATCCCTTAGTTAATTCTCTTCAAGAAATAATGTCACGATATCTGATAGACGTCAGAACGACATTCCACACTCCCGACAAGAGAGATCCAGAGTTTGTCTTCTACGATATTTCGAAGACAAACATGAATGTGTACAGGTATTCTCAAAAAATTACTTCTTCATTTTTCGATTAACATTTGAATTGCATAATTTGCTCTGCATTAATCTTTATTGATTGATGAAGATAAATCGATTGACATCGAAGACATCAATCGATATTCAACTTATGGTTTAATATTTTTTTGCAGTGTCAAGCCAGCAATATTCGATCTATTCCTCACGATAGCAATAAGTTTGTACCTCGGAGTGGTATACTTCATCGTCCACAAGTTTTCACATCTCTACAATCTGACTGTCCACATGACAGTGAAGAGCAAAGTATCTTAATGTCCACCTCTAGGAGCCAAAGAAATTTATAATTTTCCGTTTCAATAAATCGTTCGTCAATGGAACGAACGTGTTAACTCAAAAAATTTTTCAACAGAGGCGAAAGCTATCGGTAGTCACTCGTGGATAGTGCAGACCCTTGAAAATGTTCGTTAGTCCCCTGGGCCTTAAATGAGATTCGTCATCGAAATTCGATGATAAACTGCACGAAAAAATCTTCTAATTTTCTCAACTTCTTCCATGAACAAGTGAATAATAAAACTATTGCTCACGACGTGACTCTTTACTCTCAAATAGTCCTACTTTATTTTCTTCTTTTTCCATATATACGTTTTACATACATCGCAATCTTAAAAAATGTATTATTTATCGATAAAAAATCTCCAGATATGTTCGTCTCGCAATAATCGAAAATCACAAAATGCATAAAATTTTTCTAAATCATGCTGAGAAAATTAAATGGATGAAGTGATGATAAAATCAATAATAAAGAAATAAAAATCTTGAAATTGGAAATGAATGGAAACTAAATCATGGAAACTAAATCATTTCCTTACAATAAATGAAAAAGATTGCGTATCAGCCTCGAAAAGGCCTTCCCTTCAGGTTTTCAAGGCATTCGTTAAAGTATAAAATGGAGAATTGCCCGATACATAATCAAAGCATCTCATGAACGAGAAAAATTTCTGAATTTTTCCGACATTTTCGGAACAAAAACAGGTCTCAATTCTAAAAAAAGTCTCTTGTCGTCATCCCTGGAAGTCATCCTGATAATCTATAATTATGTGATCCCCCGCTTGGTGCAGTGAAAGTTTACTAATCTTGTCTCATTTTCCAAATATTTTCCCAATTTGAATAATGTTAAATTTATGAAAATAGTATAATTTTTTCACGAAATATAGATCTAAAAAATTAGCTATATGAGAGCTCCACTTGCTCATCTAATCTTTGCGATACGTCGGAAAAAAGAAGTCCTCATCGAACCTCAGCAAGACCTCAGGGAGTTGTGAAACGAACACGCCCTGGCGCAGTTGTCCCTTGTTCTTCTTGACAAGTTGATTAACCTTCTGCGTCCACTGGAGGATAGACAGAGAAGATTCCTGTCCCCTGGGCTCAGCCAAGACATCACAAACAGCATTTATGAACCAAGACCCCTCCGTTACGTGCCTGAGGGCTTTGAACTCCCTCATCGTTGCTGAAAATTGTAGGAACAGATCGTGATCCACAGTGTTGATGCTGGAAATCCTGTTGATGGTGTTGTCAGCCTCCCTGGGACTATCTGTTACGACATCATTCTTGATGACGTGTCCAATCTTGTTGCCCTGACAAGCCTGGATCATCAGAATTTTTGGCAGATGCCTGAGCCTCGGTGTGCACATGAATTTCTCGATTGATGACAGGGGCACATCGACGTTGTCGTGAGACACAAAATGCCCCTCGACCCCGTGGCTGAGAATGCAGACGATTAGGGCGTCGTGTTTCTCACGATCGAAATTACTCTTCAGATCGGTGAATATTTCTTTTATCCTGTGGATCGTGGGGTCGCCGTATACCTTGACTGTGTACCGTAACCCTTTGAAAGTCTCTTCCAATCTAGCTACGTCAACGTTGCTGCTGGTTCTGTCCTCGTAGAGGGTGTTGGGGATACTAATAACATTGAGGACTACCACGTACGCTGATTGGATCAAATTGGAAGCCTGAGGAATTGTGGGGAGCGAAGGCACTTTTTCAAGGGGTTTTGGGAGAGAGGGAATTTTTAATCCGGCTTTTGAGGAGTATTTTTGCAGGTCCAAGTACCTCGTGTGCTCTGAGAGTCCCATCGCCTTCAGTGGCTTCAGAAGGTTTTCCAAGTTTCCCCGACCATCTGTAAATAAAATGAAAATATTCATAAAAATTTATCGATCAAATATAAAACAATTCAAATCCAATAATTTCTATCGAAAAAAATTATCGAATCCATGACAATAACACAAAGATTTTCTTATATTTTTTGTGATTCATTGGAGAGTTACTAAGATGATCATTTTTTGCGAAGTGATTAGATTTAAGTTATGCATAGATATTAAGATTGAAAAAGTAAATTGAATCGCATCATCGGTTGAAGTAATCGTTAATTTGTTCAAAACATTTGATCGAGTAATGTGGAAAAATTCGGGAAATGTCTAAACTAATTTTTGCAATTACATTAACGACTTGAAGTAAATAAGTAAAGAGAATAGATAAAAAGTAATTCGAAAGGGCTCACCTGATGTTAATGCAATATATCTTTGTTGGATCCAGTAAAGGGCATGAATTTCCATAGGATCGTTATTCTTGAGCTCCTCGGGGGGTCTAATTTGCTCGTAAACCTTCCCCAGGAGCTTTATCCTCTCCTTCTCACCCAGGTCCTTGTCAAAAAGATAAAATAGGAGTTTTGCTCCGATATGAACCTGAGTTCTCCCCGAATTCGGTGGTTCCAGGTGTACCGCAGCAGGCACAAATATTCGCTCCAATTCGTCATAGCTGAGCCCTAAGAATCTGATCTCCCTTTTTGCTTTCGTGATGCAAAGAGCCTCGAAGAGTTTCATCTGCCATTCGCGGATGCTTCCCGCAAAATTCGACAAAATGTTCTCCACATTCAGCACACAAAATGCCTCGTAAACTTGTTGAAAACAGTTGTAGTCCTCCAGAATTAAAAAGAGGAGAGTCAATTTCTCGTGATTCTCCAAGTCTTTCTCCACGTTTTTCAACACTTCCAAATCAATCTTCAGCTGTTGAAGAGTTTCCGAGTTATTTGTCTGCGATGGCAGTGCGTCCACCACTAGTTCTGTCATTTTTTTTCATTAAAATACCGCGTTATTCTATACCTGAAATTATATTTGAAGTTTTGTGAATTTTTGTAAAGGAACTCAGAACGTACGAGAATTCTTCTATGATGTTAAAAGTTTGTGAGACATTGATTAACAAGAAAACTTCAAAACGCTGAATTTCTGCACATCAACTTTATCAATCAATTCTCAGAACTTTGCAAAGAACATAAAAAATGAAAAGATATCGGCAATAATTCCTCAAATCATCTCACCGTCTCTTCTCTCCAGGAGAGAAACACAAATACTGGCTGCCACGTACATGAACTTGAATGATTTCATCAAACCAATACCAATCATTCGATAGTTGCATTAAAAATGCGACTACTGTTATCAACAATCACACTACGTAACAAAACTCGACATTCCATGAATGAATAAGAATATCACAGTGTGAAACCTCGTCTGATTGGCCCATTCGCCCAGAGAAAATCCAGGGACCAATGGGAATATTTCGTTTAAACCTTCCATTATCCGTTGGCCCTTCGTTTAAATAGCAAACACAGTTCTATTCATAACCTCACTAGCCTAGATCTCCATGAGTTGTTGTCATTCGAGATTTCAATCGAATCAGATTAATTAGAGAAACGTCAGATGATTAAAGTGAATTACTCTCGAGGATAAGATGCAGAGTTCATCTTGTGCTATTTGCATTTCCCTTCTGGACCGGAATGACGATATTTTCTCAACTATTTGTGGACATGTCTTTCATATGCCCTGTTTGTCACAGTGGCTTGAGAGGTAATTAACTTCCATATATTAAATTTTGAGATTTTTTCGTCTAAGTAGTCGTCTTGTTATCCAATTATTTTGCATTCGAGTACTTATTCAAAGTCGAGTTTTATGAGTAATCAATTGATTATCGATTGATTTTTCCAGAACCTGAAATGAAACGCGACGTACATAGATGTTCTTGTATTTATTTTTAGGATTTCTGATTTTAGTAGGTTAATCATTTCGATTAAATATTACGAGAAAAAGATTCGACATTTTATCAAGTCGATAATTGAGAAAAGTTTTGGCAGTAAAGGAAGTTGAAGCTCTCGATTTGCCTTCGTTCTTATTGGGAAAGAGATTATTTATAAAAATTTTAATATTACTACTGGAAAATTGTGATCTATCGTCTATAAAAAGTCTAGTTCTTTTTGAGTAGAATTTCACGCGTTATGTAATAAACTCGCCAATCAAACTTGACAATCCCAGATTTTCCAAATTAAGATATTTTTTCTAACGTGTGCCCCGATTCCATCCAGATCGAAGAATTGTCCTCAGTGTCGTGAGAAACTGTCCAGCAGTAAGATCTTCCGGTTATACTTCAATTTCAATGCCAATGAGTCGATCAAAGAGGATGCAGCTTCCCTGCAGCATCGGGTAGACAATATGCAGTTCCAGTTGGACCTGAAAGAAACTTCGATCAAGGAGGCTAACAGAAAGTATACCGAAATGAAGAAACAGAGAGATCTGCTGCGTGCAGAGGTCCTCAAGTGCGAGAGTGAACTCGCCAAGAAGGAGTCTGCAATCTTTGCTCTCCAAGAGCAGGCCAGATATCTGAAGACTGCGGCTGATGAGAAGAATATCATTGAAGCTAAATTCCAGAGTCTCAAGTCGAAGATCGACGAATATCAGGCGTAGGAAATCATTTCAGTATAGTAGTCATAAAGAGGCATAATTCTGTGAATCATGACTTGAAAGAACAAACAATTATTTTTGCGAGAACGAGGAATCATTATTTCTTTGCAAATGTGTATTTATTTGAGAGAATTATTTATCATTATTATTTTTATTATCATTATTATTTTGTGTAATTTTTGGTTTTTCAGAATCCAGAAACTTCTGACGTCTCCTGCTGCTGCTACTGAGGAGCTCATAGCTTGCACTCAGGATGTTTCCAAGCTCAGCGTTTATGTTTCTGTTTTAAAAAGGTCTGTGAAATTTTTTTATCTTTATCATTTTTTTATCTTTATCATTTTTCACTTAAGTATCTCTGCTGATAAGACGACGATATGAAGTCTTATATCTTGTAGTTTTGCAGTTTTTGTTATAAATGTACCTAAAAGATGATTCTGTAGATTTCACAGTTGAATTGTTCTATCAATGTCATTAAATTGTTACAGACAACTAGAGGCAGAACAGCATCGTCGTAGAGAGTTACGAGACCTGATGAAAGACATGAGAAATGAGTTGAAAAAGTTATTACAGGAAAAAAACAAGATGGAAGAAGTAAAAACGTGAGGCCCTACTGGTCTACTATTACCAATAATGCCAAGTTATTTATAAATCAACGAATTGATCAATTTTTCAGAAAACTAGAGATTGATAATGATGCCCTCGAGGCTCAGAATAGGCGATTGCGGGATCAGGTGGAGAAAAATCCAGAAACTAAAAGAGAGGATGATGAAGTGAAAGAAGAATCCTTTGATTTTCGATCACAATTTCCTTCTGTGAAACGTCAAAAGCTGAATAACTTAACAAAAGTGGTAATTCTAAAAACAATCTCAACATTCTGATTTACAGAATTCATATCAGCAGCGAATTCTTGATTTTATTTTTCCCTCCAACAGAATTATTTCGACTTACAGTCGATAATTAATAGATGTTCCATTTCTTTTTATTGTCTACGATAAAAAAATTTATCTTTTCATTAATTACAAGAAAGGGATTAAAAAAATTATACCCTCAACAATTGATTTCGCATTGACAGAAACCAGATGCTGATCTTAACGACGAGGAGAACGATCCCCTGGCGCACATGCATTCTTTCAAGGTCACATCAGCAAGAGATCATTCTAGTAATTCACGAAATAAGGCTCTCTCATCGGATTCGATTCTGAAGAAAAAAACTCGACTGGCTGCAACTGCAACGGTAAGTTACGGCTCTTTAATTAATAAGTATCGATGAATTTTAAAAACAAATTGATTTTGAGAAGAAAGTGTTTGACTATTCCAGACACGACTTCCAAAGCCTGACGATCGTTACATCCCCGATGGTCTTGGTGGGTACATGAAGGTTGAGCAATTTCCAGTGTCAAGACAAGCCAAAAAGTCACAATCGCCAAAGAAGACATCCCTCAAACGCAAACTCGACGATTCGAAGAATCATAAAATCGACAGCTTCATAGATCTCACATAAATTACCCACAACACGCCTCACAGCTCAACTTCTTCGATAAATAACTGTGATTGTAAAGCTCTCGAAACGATCATTGAATTTTTAATCTGAGGGCCGCATGAACTATCTATCGAACGTGATCATTTGTTCCAATTCTATCTGGTTAGCCTAAAATATATCAAAATTTGGGATCAAATTTGTGTTGCAGGCACCACTCGAATGGCTATAAAAAGATAATGAAAAAAGAGGAAAAATTATGGAAGGGCGCTCAATCGCGATAATGATCGAAAGGGATCTAACAAGTTTACAAAAAGAAAAATAAAAATACCCAGTTTACAATTACTCTCCACTGGATTGAGTGACAGTGAGACGAACTTGGTAGATGCCTTCCCATTATTATCGCGATTTAACGCCCTTCAATAATTTTTCCTCTTTTTTTCCATTATCGTTTGATCCCAAGCTTTAATATCTTTTAGGCTAACAAGATCAAATTTAAACAAAAGATTGCATTCGACAGATGGTCCATCCTCATTTTACGTAATTATTTTTGTTTTTGCACAAAATTCTCATGACGCCTGCAATTTACTCATTAATTTATATAAAATTTTGCCAGACAGATCTTTCATTTCTCGAAAAATCCCAGTGTGAAATGTGCATTCCTCCATATGTTTCGTAATTGAATAAAATAAATGAAAACCGTGCGTTGATCCTCGTTTTCTCAATTCGCAAAAATTCCTCGCACTACTCGCATGTAAATTTACGGAAGTTTCCCAAAAGAAAATGCAGGCTGCGTCGATAGCTTTCGAGGAGAAGTTTTTGGGAAGTATTGGCCCGACTCGTGATGGCTTACCGAATGGTGTTAGCAAAGTCCTGGAGTACAACACACCATTTCTTCCGTCTTCATTGAGAATATCTAATTACGATTATGCCAAAGCAAAAGAAGTTGATAATTTTTATAAGGTATTTCATCCGAGGGAAGGAAAATGTAAAAATCATGACAGTTTTCAAAATGAATCATTTAAACTTGAATTTCCAAATAGTCACAGCTCTAATTGAATATCAAAATACCAAAATGTCGACTAAATTCCGATAAAGTTATCACTAACGCGATGACGTCATCAGATATACATATGAGATCTGTACAAAATTTCTATTCCCGTTCCGAGAATCGATTGTATTGACGATCAAATTAAAAAATGCAATAATTACAAAATGTTTGTGTTATAATAATAAGATGAATGATACAAATCACTTTTGATTCAGAAGCGATTCGATGATTCATTGGAAAAAAGAATGATAGCAAGAGGAAATGAATGCAGTTATCTGCTTGTTTCAGATTGTCCAATTGCATCGAGAGCAATACAAAATTATGGAAAACACGAGCCATCCCTTGAGCTATTTCAAAACATACGACACCGATAACCCGACGAAATCATACTTCATAAAATATCCGGTGACTCATGTTAAATATAAAAATCCATTGGTGTTACCTCGTACGTATGGTCGTACTATCAAACTTCCGTCTCTACCACAACGACGAAATTCGGGGATTCACAATCGTTTTCCTTGCACAGCGTATAAATTTTGAATATGCATAGCGAGCAATTGGAAATAAAATATTCCGTTGGATTACGTGAAAGCCTGTAAAAGCTTTCGGTTATTATCAAAATGTAAAATATAAAATCTGGAAAAGCCGAATCCGCACTCTTTACTCGATACGACTTCTGAAACTTTCATGAGAGCTTTGTCGCTCTTTTGAAGGATTATTTTATCATCAAGTCTTTAACATTCAATTTTATGGTTCACTGCACTGAAGTATTAATGATTCTAAATACACGGTTAGGAGAATCTTTCGGGAGTTTTGAGGGGAAAATATTCAATATTCATTCATTCATAGTCTTAAAAAAAAATGCGCGGACTATTAATTTGCCGGTTTATTCAGTAAAAATTACGAAATAAATCATGCAGCTTAAAGCAAATAAATAAAAGAGCTTGTGGTCTATTGAATTGAATTTGATGTTAAATTTACATAATGAACACAGAAATTCAAGTTTTTATGGAAAAATCAATTATTATTCAATTATTACTCGATACGAAGGAAAAATAAAAAAATATTTAAGATAAATAGTAAAACGAATTCGTCATTGAAATGGAATTGAAGCTCATGTAACTAAAAATACGGATGATTTCCTCCATAGAAAACAATATCTCCGAAATATATATTAATAGCACGCACATATATTTGCCAAAAATCCAGTGTGTCAGATATATACCTCATATAATTTAATTAGTATATATATATTCCCGGTGAGGGTTTGCAACTGAAATTTCACTGAATTTACAACCGTATGCGGTGAATAGTGCCGACGTATACTGAACAATCCTCAAGCATTGAGTCTGAAGGTTTGTCCGAATTCTGGCATCCTAACAACCATGTGAACAAATTCCTGAAGTCCGACGCTTCCAGTCCGATCGAGATCCAATTCCTCGAGTACCTGGGGACGTAATAATATATCAAAAGTTGGTCAATGGAAAATTGAACAACAGTACAATAGAGAGGAATGGATATTGGAGACGAAATGCAAGTGGAGTTCAATGCCGTTTGAACGAGAGTACCAAAATGGTTGGTGAACAAGTGCCTTATAGCCAAGTCGGGGTTACCATGACGGAAACACAAGCATGAAGCCATTACGCTGTTTAAGACAATGGCATTATTGTTCCCGCAGAGGCCATAAGCCGTAATAACTTCAATATATATTGAATGTGTGTGTACGATGGGTGAAGAAAGGGGGCTTGGGCTCCGAGGGATGGCCAAACTTTTTGAGGGCTATCCTTGTTGGTAAATACCAATTGTTTGAACTTGGGCTGTAAATCTCGTCACTGATAAATTGATAAAATACCACTTGAGCCACAAATTCCGCGCTAGACCGATCAATTCGGATATGGCCATTGTGGTCCAAACCGGTTATTCTCTCCACCAGTTCGATCAAGTCGTCAATTGACAGCTGATTGTCCCCATCGAAATCTGAAATTAATAATGTTATTCTGTCATTACAGGTCTTTTCATTTTTTTCTCCAAATTTTGCCCCACATACCCATGGAATTTTTGATATATCTCTGTAGATGTACATATATCTCACCGAAGATATATTCAAAATATAAGCTGGATATATTTAAGATATAATTCCGCAAGAAAACTGTCTCTCAGTTACAATTTTTATAATATTATGTTTTGGAAAGTTTTTTCTATTGCATTTGATTTTTTCTTGTTTTTTCATTATAATTTCCGCATTTTTAAGGAATCATCGGATTCAATGGTCTTCTATATTAATTATTATGAATAATAATACATGATAACAATCAATAATGATAATGCACAAAATATTTTAAAATATTGGGAAATATTTCATTTAGATATATTACAATCAACTTTGAATTTAATTTTTTGTGATATTTCAAATGTAGTGTCCCTGCGAATAATATTTATTAGTTATAATATCGCGATGGAATATTTTTTATTGGAAATACTTCGACGTAATATTTTGGTTAATAATATTCAGACATGTAAGCAGATGTGCTGTTAGAAGATTCAAAACAATACCGAGTATTTGAAATGCCCAAGCAGCACGAACATCCTCCGGGCATTTATCCGACATTCCTGAGCACAAATCCAATAAATCCTCGAAACTCATCCTTCCATCCTTTTTGGATGAGAAAACTTGAAGTATCGACTCGCGAAATGGATTGTACTGAAACAGAGAGCTTCAACATACCGTACCAACGCTTCATCTTCTATTTACTGAATATTTTTTTAAAAAACATGTTCGTTCCGTACCATGAAAACAACTATATAATTATATTACATTATTATACTATTGCTGCCGAATGCACTCTAACTCGTTTTGTTCTTGCCGACTCGTTCGGACTAATTAGAATTTTTCTTCTAGTCTGTAATTATTGCTGAGTAATTATTATTGTCGTCCATATTAATGAGAATTCAATTAATATATTGATTTTTCCACTGCAATTCAATTAATATTCTCCTTCAATTGACTTTGATTAGATTATTAAATGATAATTTCGGTGGTATACTATGAAAATCAGGAGATAATTCATAACTATATATGTCGATATAATTTATTAGACGACAAATATCAATAATAATGAAATAATGATTATTAATTTTAAAGTGTGTCAAAGTGGTTAAAGATGATTGCTGATGAGTTTAATTGAGAGTGACACAGTGATTTCACTAATGAATGGAATATAATGGAAGAACAATTATCACTTTGCTCGAAAATATTATTATTAAAAAATGGTCAATTGATAAAAGGACTTGAGCTGCGAAATGTCACATGCTTAACACCGACGACTGTCCAAATAGAAGCTAGAGAACTTACTCGAAGCTGTGGAAGGACTTTGAGAATATCCTGAGTTGGCAATCGGTGGTGGAAGTTTTCAGCGAGTTCACGTGGGGCCAGGGACTTGAAGAGCCTAAAAATACTGTAAAAAGAAACGAATGTGGTTGTTTTAGCAACTCAGCGCAAACAATTCTCACTAATGCAACTGAAAGGCGAAGCCTCTCCCTATCCTCTTCAATTTTTTTTTTTTTTTTCGTTCTTTTCCCACCGATACACCAGTATTTTTCACCATAAATCCACGTGGGATACTCACTGAAGTATTTCGGCTTTATTCAAGTACGTGAGCTGAGCGTACTCCTCCAGAATTTCACGAGTAATATCGACTTTCTTCGAGTTTGAACTTCCCATCGCTGATGCATTCGACGGAGACACTGATATCACAAGGAAAAATATCGAGACTCGATTCTAATCTTATCTTCTGCTGATTGTGAGTCACTCCGCAGGGAAAATTGTATGTATGTCAAATTTTCAATTTTTAGACGCAAATATATTTGTTATAATATATTCAAATATATTATATCTTTACATTTGAAGATATTTATTTCTATATGTCAGATATGTCCGGAATATATATGTGCAGGTATATTCATTAAATATAATATAATTGTTATATAATTACTATATATTTTTGAACTTTATCTTATAAAAAATTATTTATTGATTGCTCTACACAATCTGTTCTATTTATTTTCCTTTGATTCTATAAATTACAACAATATATCTTCGTCATTTATCTGATATATTCATGAAATATATTTGAAGGGAATTTACTAAAGAAATTTTTCAACATTGAAGAGAGCGACGAGCGAAGTCTAATCAAATATAATACACTTATAGAAATATATATATAATAATAAATATATAAGGATTTAGTTGGCTCCTCGTGGAATCCCGAGGTAATAAGCGCAATCAACGATTTAATTAGCTCCAAGGACTGCTACCTAATAGCAAATATTTCATTTAATTTACATATAGTAATTATTGTTCATGGCAGACTTTTTTTTCTCAGTGCGAGAGGAAATTCTTTCTAGAAATTATTGCACTAGTACTGAAATAAAGACAAAAGGACCGAATGAGTCCCTTATATTCAGATATGTTTATTAAATTCTATCGAATCATCGCGTAATTTTAAAAAACAATATACAAACCACGCGAATTTCATTAATTAATAACCAATAACCGTTAATAGCCGATACTAATTTGCGTTTTTAATTTTCAATATGCGATGTTATGTGTTGGAGGGAGAATGAACGAGTTATTTTGCTGAAGAGTCTCTCCTCGATCTATAATAAAAAACATTTTTTAGTAATTTACTCCATCATGTGAGGAATTTGAGGAATTCAATGGGAAATAAATGTGAAAATTGTACGCCCGGGATAAAAAGTGGAATTACACTAATAAGCATTCCAATCGATCTGCTAAATATTGAATGGAAATTTTCAACAAATATTCTATAAATCTTCGCAAATTCATGATTTTTCAACTGGAAAAAAAGCATTCGCGAGCTGCAGTGTATTCGATTTTTGCTCCTACATGGAATGTTGTACTCGTTCCAATCAATCTTTTTTTTTTCATTCTCTCTCTATAAAGGTTTAACAAAATTTCATCACTTTTTCTATGAATATATAGACTTCGATAAGCCCTCATCGATGTCAATTGAAATCCCATCTAGTACAGACATAGTGACATATAAATATTTATTCAACAATTCCTTTTTCAACAATTAAAAAAAAAGTCAATATCAACTTGTCGTCCAATGATTGCATGTTTTTTTTGAGAATTATGGTAATTTAAAAAATTTCTGTCTCAAGTTCAAAACGGAAAATCTGAAACAGAAATTCATAATTTAATTACCATTTTTGTACTCTTCACTGTAAAAATAGAATCTATAAGTGCTGAGTAAATAGTTTAACACAGCAACAATCATAATGAAAAATGTTTGACCTGACGACTGGAATGGACGTTTGGAAAAAATAAAGCTGTCAGGCATGAAAGGCGATTGTGGGGAGATTATAACATTGGTTATTGTCGGAAATCGGGGTTGGCTTGTGTATAATGGCACCCTTGTGGGGGGTGTACTGGGGATGCTTCAGGAGAGGCCATACGATTCTGACATCCCGACATGTCAACAGCAACTATGCATCATCAAATGTCTGATGCACGTAACGCATCCGGGGTTATTCTCTGCATGTATGGGGGCTGCAATTGCAGTAGTACGTTCATTACAATAAGCAGTCACTAGATGATCAAATGTCGCTCCATCCCATTTCAACTTGTGCTTTCCGGTGTCCCTTGGACGTTATCGTGATTGAGATATCGACGTATCAGTATTTCTGCCACCCGCATAAACATCTCGTCTGAAATAATTCATTTGGAGAAATTCATCTGCAGAAATATATTTGTTCTTTCGACAGAAATATTGTCTTCAAAGAAATTTCTCTGTTTTTATTCGAGGCATCATCATCGAGGCATCGTTTACTGTGAGATCCTCCTCTCAATTTATTATATGAATTAATAACTAATTACATGTTTCGGGTTCCATAAAGAGAGATAAATGACTAAAGGGTGTTTCACACCCCTTATACTAATAATGTAACATTATATTATATTTATATATACTATATACTATTCTTTAAGTATTTTATTTATTTCATATAGTTTTCAAACTTTCAATTTGAAAAAAAACATCCAATTACATGCATAGCGTAGATATGCGCCGAAAAAAGCTGAGGAAAAACGTCACATCCTTTTTTTTAAAAAAGGGATGTGGGTGTAAAAAACGGGTGAAGGAGGAATTTTATTTTAGCATTTTAAGATTCAAATAATTACTTATGGAAGTTTCAGGATAAGATAGCCACAAAGTTTAGGCGACGGGTTAATAAAATCCAGAGTTAATGATTTAATTATCAAAGAGAATATTTGAGATACGATGAGTGTTTTATTTTCTGTCGAGGTCTTACGAGGGCTGTGTAGGTCTTGTAGGGGCCCTACGGAGGGCTAATATAGGTCCAAGGTTTTACGGAGGCTATGATGAATGAATGTTCTCTATAGATGTGGATTTCCATAGGCAGACGCATCCGATGTCCCATTACGATACACTTATCTCCTTATTCCACTTCATTACAGATTTCATCCGTCAATAATTCTCGACAAGATCTCACCACACAGCCTCCACGCAATTCCATTTCCGTTATTATATCGCAGAAACAGAGGAGAGGAATGGGAATGAGCATATTATGGGGTATTATTGATTCGGTAAATCATTCTAGTGAATTACATTTCTCTGGTTTACCTAAACGAGTTTCCAGCCCATTTGTACTGATGATACTGTATACTTGCTAGTAACTCGGGTGTCTATTCTCCTCTGGTTTGCTTTAGGTGTGACACTGAAGCACACGAAATGACAGTCTGATGTGTTCATTACCGTTTTCATCGTTGCATTATGGTAATTTCATTGACAAACCCCATTGGCATTCCTTCACGTAGCAAATATTAACTATTCATTCTCGACGCACCATGAAAATGGTTCCAACAATTGTGCTGAGATGATTGATAGAGGATTAGACATATCCATCTACTCGGATTATTTTATATTTTGAAAAATATAGGGAAGTGGGGGGTACCAAGAGATTTTTCAATTTCTTTTCGTTTTTAATTATTCAATTCTCGTTTAATACTCGAATAATTTTCATTTCTTTATCATATATAAAGTTTGATATTATAGTTTTTGTTAATTATTATTTGTTTATTCGGAAAACCAACTATCAATTATTTTTCAGTGGGATTTCAACCTGAAAATTCAGAATCACCCGAATACTGAAAAACTAAAATGATTCCTTAATGAAAAATTGTGAAAATTTAAAGTGCAATTTTACAACTGGACGTTGATTTTTATTTAAACATATAAAATAAATATATTTTTGTATATACTCTTAAAACGAAAACTCTGTTACACTTTTTGGCAATATCACTGAATCGGAAAACTCAAAGAATTGAAAAATATCAACTAAAAATATTAATTCCATTGCTTTATATAAAAAATTCACGTGAGTTAAAAATTTATTGTGAACAATTGAACTATCTTGGAATCTCTTTTGACGTGTCGAGTTGATGGAGTTGCAGCTCCTAGTATCGTGTCGATAAATGAATTGAAAAGCGTGGATACCACCGCGGGGAATCGGTCTTTCACGGTTTTTAACATTTAAATAATTCACTGTTCTGACAATTTGATTTGTCAAGCTAGTGAGTGCTGATCGTACGTACGTCCCTCGGCCAATTGCGTTACTCATTCAGAGGTGTTAAGGGGTGGCCAGAGGGTGGAGAGCCAGAGAGAGGGACAGAGAGGGAGAGAGAGAAATGGGGTGAAATGTCAGTCTAGGGATGGCCATTCAAACCCCATTGAATTTAAATTTCTCCGATACTGGACGCTCAATGTTACTCCCTCACTCCCTCTCGTATAATTCGCTTGATCCGGTACCAACCGGAGAACCAGTCGCTATTTTCACATTCTCCAATACCCCAATCATCAAGATAATACCGTCAATGTTTGAATGATGCTGGGGGATACTATTGTCTCTATCGGGTTAACATTTCCCGAATTTATTGATTCATCTGATTACTCACGGACGTAGATAGAGAGAATTGAAAGTGCAATTATTGACTAGTCGTTTTTATGAGAGTCACATTACATTCGATTTACACGAGAAAAATCACGAATTTTCAAATTTTTATAACAATTTATTAAGATTTGTCATTCATTTACAATTTGAGAATCTATTTTTATTTGCTTCTACTGGAGTTTTGTTCAGTTTTATAAAATGGTTTAACTGAAATTGCGATCTGGGCTTGAATTTTCAATTGCGAAATTTTATTTAAATTCTAAAACATCGCAATAAACTTATCGCCGTGATGAAAATTATTCAACGCCGAAGATTTTTCCTCAAAACTTATACCAAAATTCATGAGCCGTAGAAGTTCGTTTAACATTCAGCGATAAAAAATGGAACTCTCGTCATGATCCAATTGCAAATAAATCAAATAATTTCCTAAGATTCCATCAATTCCAAAAAATTTCACTGTAGTTCTAGATGTTAAAAATAAAAGAATTCAATTTTCACAGTTTAGCGAGCAATAGCAAGAGTTCCCGACGCAGAATCTTGGCATTGGAGTTTCTCGGAATAGCATCGATGAACCTGACACCACCGCGAAGATGCTTCGGTGATGACAATCGCTCTGCAGATGATAAATAAAATTTAGTTGATACCCTAAATAAAAAAAGACAAAGCCTCACGATTGAGTATTTACCACTAACGAATTTGCAGAGTTCCTCAGCGGTGACATCGGATCCCGTCGTTTTAACAACAAATGCCAAAGGTACCTCACCAGCAATATCATCAGGCTTCCCAACGACAGCAACATCTACCACCTCACTGTGCGCCCCAAGAAGATGTTCAATTTCAGCTGGTGCTACTTGGAATCCTTTATACTTGATGAGTTCCTTCAATCGCCCCGAAATAAAGAGATCACCATCATTATCGTAGAAAGCAAGATCGCCGGTGTGAAGCCAACCATTGGAATCTATAACTTCAGCTGTTGCTTGAGGATTTCCCTTGTATCCTAGCATTACGTGATCACCCTTGCAACACAGTTCACCTGTTTCGTTGGGACCGAGAGACTTTCCGGTCTCTCTATCAACGATTTTTAGTTCAAGGGCAGTTTGAACAGGTCCAACAGACAATTTCTTCTTCGACCCGATATTGCATATGTGTGTTACAATTGACAACTCCGTCATTCCGTAACCATTTCTCAGTATTAGATTTTTGTTCTTCAGTCGATCTTCAACAAGCCCGATTAGCTAAAATCATAGAATTATTAACACCTGTTCTTCGAGTGTCACTACGTTCCGGCCAATCAATCGATCAATGAATTAATCCATTAATCACTCGGTGCGTTAATTAGTTATTCAGTCCGTTAGTTAATTAGTCGTCCCTGTCAGTCAGTTCATTGATTTGGCAATCGGTAAGTTAGTCAGTTGAGCAATCAGTTATTACTGATTTGATTAATCAATGATACATAGTCTTGTGATAAGTTAACCGACCTGATGGGAAGAAGGGGCTGATCCGAACATAATCTGCCTCAAAGACCTGAAGTCGTAGTTGCTGACGATAGGGTTCTTTGCCAAGAATCCTAAGAGGGCGGGCACTATTGGTAGAATCGTCACTCGATACTTCTGAATTGACTCGCAGAATAATTTTGGGTCAAATGACTTCATCATGATTGTTGTTGCATTACTGTGGATTACGCTGAGCATTATGAGGAAGCCAAAGCCGTGGTGCAGAGGAATCACCGTTAAGATTACGGATGCATTACTAAAATCTTCGAACTGAAAATTTCTGAAAGATAATTCTGTATTTTAATTGTATTCTCAACGATTTAATCTTGTCGCGGATTTCGGATCACGAAGCGGATTGTTTATTATTTTGTTAATCATGAACAATCTAGTTTTCAAAATTTCTTCTCACAAATGGCGGTGGACTCGAAAGGAAGGGATGACATTGTAATTGATAGGATCTTACTTGGCCATAAAAACACTGGCCAGCATATTTTTATGCGAGAGCATAACACCTTTTGGCAGTCCAGTGGTGCCACTGGACTGAAGAATAATTGCTTCCTTCCTAAATGGCTCACTCACTGCTGTTGCTTGATAGCCGAGAGGATCTGGCCACTGTCTCCTCTGGGAGATGATTCCACCGAGTGTTAAGATATCCGTTATTGGATTTTCGTCGTCCAGCTGTATGAGCTCAATCTTCCAAGACTGTTTTTGCGCAGCACGATGGACTACCTCATACGTTATTCGTGATACGAAAATTATACGTGGTTTTACGATGTTCAAACTATGAAGAAGCTCCACTAGAATCATCGCAATATCATTTTGTAAAAGAGTTTGGAGTTGAATATTTTTCAGATACTCATGACGTACTTTCGGTGTAGCTCGGATTAAATGGAGCCAGAGGGTTACCAAGAAACATCGCCGCACAAGCTACGACAAACCAATTTAACTGGGTCTCACTTGATATCGATACTATATCATCGGAATTCAATCCCCAGTCCTGCAGACCAACTGCAAGTCTAATACTTTTTTCTAATAACTCATATCTTGTCATTGTTTTTCCTGTGTAGGCATCAACCTGATGGGATTTTTTTTCATTTCAATCATCAAATTTTAGTGAATGATAATAATTGAAAGAATAATCGTTCCACAATGATTCTACATTGAGTTACTTACCTGGAAAACTTGGTGTGCTCTCTTCTGGAGATTCTCCAGAATTGATTGACCGATCGTGATTTTTGGGAATTCTATTCTACCCGGGAACCGTAAGATCTTTTCAGTTTCCGCCATTGCTGTTCAAATTGACATAATTGACAATAAATCTTGAACTTCAACTCGAATTTTAATAATTAGAATTTTTATAATTACTTGGGCATAAATCATGAATCATTCAAAGATTAATTTGTATTAATATTTGATTTTTGTTTATCTCTTTTTCTGAGTAAATAATAAATTATTGTTTTTTCAATGAAATTAATACGAAAAACGTTTTGTAAAAGGGGAATATATTATATATTCTATATATTATTATATTATATATATTAGTCCACTGATTTCGTTCGAATTTTCTCAGTTTAGAAATAAATTAACTTGAGTATAAATTGAAGTACTCATTAATTTGTTGAATACCACAATAAAAAATTATGTTTCTAAGATCACAAAAAACATGTCTAGGACTTTTTAAAAATTATTTAGAAATTGGAAAAATGTACAGAATTGCCTCAATATTCACATCCAAAATCCACACAGTTCACTTTTTCGATTTTCAACAACCGATTTTTTCTTAAAATCGGTATAGTTCTTTTAATTCCCTATCTCACTTAATTGCGTTCTTGACTGCATTACAATGTATAAATTTGACATTGATGATACCTTTTTTTTATTTCACAAGTGCAATCTGTCGATTCAAATATGAATCTTTGCATTAATTAATCTCAGACAGATTGATAACACTCGACAACTCACTGCTGCGCTTGACGCCGAACTGAAAAATTGATATGCCTTTGAGTTGATAAGCACAAACATTCCGTGAGGTCCAAAGTCTTGCCATTTCAAGATTCGGCTTTACTATCAAGTCACCGTCCAAGTCATAAAAATTATTTACATTTAAAATGGACATTAGCCTTCTTTCCTCCAAATTTTAACTTGTCCAATCGTTAATAAATTGGTATTATAATTTCTCATCGCCATATACTATATAGTAACTTTTATTTGTAGTTTTTTATGTTGTGCTATAATATTATTTTCTTTTTCGCGTTTTTATTTTCATCGAGACTATAACTTACTGCCGATATCTTTTTACTTGTCTACTTTTTTTTGGCGATAAGTGCTTAAGTAATTGTTAATCATTTTTTGGAAAAGTTGAGAATCTCTTGGACTCAAAAAGGCGCGCTTCGTTTGAAAATCTTTCTGCTCTTGTATCGAGATATAATATTTTCGACGTAATAACGAATTCCGGCCAGGTCAATTGATCAATTTATCACCGAGTTATGTACACTTCAAATCCTCGAATAATTACATTTTTTTAATGGACAACTACGGTTATTGTTGACAATAAATTATCAATTTTATTTCGAA